AAGAAAGGGTAACAAGAACTGAGAAATGGCAAAAAAAGATTATTCTGCAAAAAGAGTGCTGACTTCTTTCAGTGTGATGTTTCGATTATCTTTATGTATACACATTTTAATAGGAACTGTGATTTTGAGAAGTAAAGAATTAAGAGTTTGTGGATATCTACTAATAAGGTTGCCCAGTGATCCGTGTGGAGTTATACTAAGGTGTGACTTAGCAGAGAAAAATAGCCTAAGATATTCTGCCTACCTTCTCTTGCAAGTCAACAGTACAGAGATCTGTTCTTCACATCAATTCTACAACCTACGAAGAGATGCTCCGACCTATAGCTCTTATTCGAAGGAGCTTATGAAAGCTGAGAGCAACTCATGTTATTGTTCTGGTGGATGCATCATCTAACCATGATTTAACTCACCTAACCGTTACTTAACTCAGATACTCTTAGCTTAATTTGTGATCTTACCACATTTAAGAGGCAGCATTTTTCAGAGCAGGGAGGTGAAGCTGGGTAGCTTCTGCAGCCTGATCCTAGCTGACACAAAATTCCCTTGTGTGGTTTTGGACAAGCTCTCTAGATTTCTCTGCCTCAGTTCTTCTTTTCTAAACCAAAGATGATTGTGCTGACCAAGGTCAGGCAAGTGTTAGAATTATCTAGTTAATACTTTTAAAGGGATCTAAAGCAGTAAAAAAAAAATCAGTGTGTTATCTAGCCCTCTTCCCCCACAAATTGCGTCTTAAAAATAGTGATCCATTTTACCTGGGAGCAAGGGAGGTACAAGCAGATCCATGAAGTGTCCTGAAGGAACACATGAACAGCTGTCAGTAAAAGCTGTAGCATTCAAACTGTCAGCAGCAGTCAGGCCTTGTTTAAAATGGTAGGAAGCCAAGTGGCAATGTGTTGAATAGGTGGAGTTGTTGTAACTGATCTGTTGTAGCATTGTCATCAGCTGTATGTCAAATGGCTGCTATCTTCCTCTCAGTTATCCATAAGTCTTCTTCTGGGCTTCTCTGCTGCTTACACTAAATCTACTTGTTCCCCAACTTGTTCAGTTTACTACGGTTCATACCTTTATTGTGGTACCTAACTTCTTCCTCTACTCCAGCTCTGGGAACCATGGGATCACAATTCAGCTCTTGTATTGTCTTTGTTTATTTCTTGGCCTCTCTTTGGAAACAGACACTGCATGGAAAGGAGGCTCCATCATCTGGCTGCCCTGGGTTTGCAGGCATGAAGCCTTGCACCTCCTCACAGAGTTCAGCCTCAAGAGTACTCCATCTTTTTCTCTTGAGCAGGGAGAATAAGGTAGGGGCAAGTGTAAGGGTGTAGGAACAGACAGGACAATTGGAGGGGAGATGTAGGGATAGAAAAGTCTATAATCAACAGAGCACCCTCTTACCACCTGAAACAAACCCTTTGGGTATTAAGTCATGGGGCCTTTGCTGCTGACACACACGAAACACAAAGGCATGCACTTAAATACGCTCTTCACTGCCCCTCACATCTAGCCCTACCTAGGGAATGACAGCTTGCCACTGCCAGGACATCTGCTGTGGGGACCTCTTCAAGGTTCTAGTGCTGCTCATGCTGCAGCCAACAGGAGCCCATACCATGGTCTTCTGGAACAGGAGGCACTCAGTGTTGTTTTAAAAATAATAGTTTGAATGACAGATAGAAAAGCAGAGCACTGAGCAGCTTTTGTTTGCCAACCCACTCCTGCAACAAGGTGCTAGCGTTCATCCTCCCCACTTGTGGGTGTGTTGTTCACGCTGCATACCCCATGTGACACTCCAGGAGGCTTCATGGTCAGTGTTCACCTCCACACCTGCATCTTTAGCACATGGCCACCCAAAACACGTGACTCATCTTTTCCCCTGTGATCTCATGAATTGCTTCCAAATGCCTAAACTCTCTTAAGCTTCAATCACACATCTCTGTGTATGCTTATCTTTCTATTTAATGGTGTTGGTGTATTTTACCATCACAAAAGACACTGAAAAAATTACCTTTACCTTTCCTACACAGTAACTCCAAGCAAATACAACATAAAGGTTATGCACTCACCTTAACACTCATTACTTTACAGCAGCTGTATAAAGAGTTGTGAAATTTATCTTCTAGCTTTCGATAAATGTTTTCAAATGCTTTAATCACAAACACATAATTGAAAGCCATTTTTTTTCACTCACCTGAAAGGGATCCTTATCAGAACTGAGATTGGAGGAATTTCCAGCTTTCTGTTTTGTTTTTTCATATTCATACTGCCTAAGGTCTAACCTGGAGGTTGCAATTTGCAATGTTTTACTTTCAAGAGCACCTGATTGAATGCACTGCAATGCAGACCACCTGCTGCCCCTGGCTGCTAGCTCCCAGTCGCCTCCCTACATACCGCACCTAGATTGGGCAGGCTACAGCTATTGGTCCAAGCCAGAGCTGGGAAAGAAATTCTTAATTTAAAGAACTCTCAATGAAAAGTAAAAAAGAAATTTGTAACAATAAGACCCATACATTCTGCTGCATTCATATAAGTGGTAACCCAGGAAAGCTCTTAGGCACATATTTCAGATTAAGTATGTCAAATTTTGCTCTGAAAAGGGTTCTGTGTAAACAAATGATTTTTGGAATGAGACCTCCATGACTGTACATAGTAAACAGAAATGTCTTTGCTGCCAAATCTGAAGTCTGCTTGACAATCGCCACGGTACATTTTATTACTGAAATATGCCAGATGAAGATCACAACAAATATTAAATATCTACCCAAAAGTATTAATGGCTAGTGATTCCTGTGGCTAAATCAGGCCCACACTGATGTTTACAAGATCTATTTAATGGGCACTTCAGGGACACAACAGATACCAGACCAACAGTGATGGGTGAAGACTCTCGTTGTGCCCCGGCAGCTGCTTCCGCCACGCCTACACTTCTCCATTCACTCCATCTGTTTTCAAATGCACCATCCATGCTACAGTGCATGGATCTGCTCTTCCATGCCACAGATCCCACCCAGCAAGGCATGCCCCTCACAGAACAGCTACAGCAAACATTTTCCAGTCATGCTCATTTGCCCTAGTAATTAAAGTCTTTTCCACGGCAATTCACAAAGATTCCTTACCAACTCAAAATATTTTATTTTCCAGTTTTGAAGCTGCTTGAACTCACAGCCAACCATTCCTGATGCTGTTAGAAAATTAAGTACTGCTCTGTGAGCCTACAAATGTACCTGTGGCCTAGACTACACTGATATAAAGCAACATTAGGAATATGCTAATAGCTATAATGTTAAAATACATTAAGATTTCTCATGATAAGAATATGTTAGCTGATCTCAGTTAATTCCACTGACACTCTAATGCAGAGTGAAAATTTTCAACTTAACTGTTTTTCAAGAGAAGAGTGCAGATTCTGCCACATTAATGAGTTCAAGAATCCGTACCAATTTCCCAGACTGCCTGCTTAGAAAAAAATTAAATATAAAAATTGTTCCCACCACTTCAAAACAAAAATAACTAAATTTTTCTACTATAATGGAATCCTTCTATTGTTAAAAAAAAATATTTCTGACCTCAATCAGAAAGAAGAAAACATTTTGTTTAATTCAGTCCCCTTTTCTGCTTCCAGATTGTTCACTAGCTGTTAGAATATTTCAATTTCCACCAAGTCCCAAACCAAAAGTATTCTTCTAATTCCTTGTAAACTAAAAATAAAGCCCCACTATCTGCCCAGCTTTGCTCTGATGAGAAGTTCTATTTGATACAATATAAGTAAAAGATGCTTTTAACATCTTTTCCAACATGAAACATTTTCCCAGATTACGTATAGAATAAGCATTCTTGCTGTGTAGATTGGATATTTACTTCTAAGGATCAGACTAGATGAGGCTAGACAAGTGCTAGCGTACGGCACTGCACCTCCTGTCCCAACAAACAGAATATCCAAATGCTTACTAAACACAGTATCATTTTATAAATTACAGAGAGCTAAATCAAAGCAACTAGGTTCATCCGAGAACATCAGGATCATTTGCAAAAAGTAAAAACTGGTTTAGGCAAAAGAGAGCAATGGGTGTGAATTGAAAAGATCCGGTAATAATTGAAGTTCTACTGGACACCTGGGCAGGTCAGATTTGGGATGAAGAAGCTGGGGAGGTAAAGAATTTTTTGAAAGAGATTCCTTTCAATAGTTCTTATCCCCACAGACACCATTAGTGCAAAGATCCCGAGTATCATTATTCCCAATTTCTAAGCAGAGAATCAAAGCACCACATACCATCACAGTGCAGTGGCAGTAGACATCTCAGACTCTAACTCCTACTTTCTTTTTCCAGGCCACTGACAGAGAATCTGCTGTCCCTAGGAAGAACATCTGCTGGTGACATATTTACAAACAGTAACTGGGTATTTACCAAGTTAGGAGGTGAATTGCCAAGGAATGTAAAAAGTCTTGCCCTAAAGAAATCATCATTTATGTAGGTGGAGAGCCTAGACAGGTTTGGGGATTTCAGAACAAACATATGCAAACGTATCTACCGATCAGAATTAGCTGTGGCACAGAGTGAGAGCTGATAAATTTTAATAGGGGAGGATGGGAAAACGCTGTGTTGGACACATGACAGCAATCGAGTGAAACAAGATTTTTAAAGGTCAAAAGAGATGAACAAGAATGACTCCGGATTAACTCCAAATCATAGCAATTCTTATAACTAAAAAGTAAAGATAAAATCACATTGTGAGACAGTTTGACTATTATCAAGTGTTCAACAACAGCATAAAAGTGCATGGTGTGAAATCTTACTATATTACATGGCATGAAAACACTCACGCCCTGTATACATCACTGGAGAATAAACAGGGTTATCTTTCCACTAGTGGTCCTTTCAGTACTACAGCTCACAGGCATTTTTGTCAGAAATTGTTCCGACACGGACAGTGGCTGTTTGTGGCACAAGAACATACAAGCTCCTGAAGCCGAACTTCCAGCTCTTGCAGAACTGGAGCACAGAAGGCTTCTAAACCCTTGGCAATCCATCTTCACTAACTGCACCATTCTGGAACATCTTAGGAGTCTCTTTGTTGTCCCTAGCTTCTTCAGCTGTATACTCCGGAGGCTCTAGGTCATCGTATCTTCTCCGATAGACCACCCTTGAGATTAGGGTTATCAGAAACATTTCCATGATGAGGAGCTGCTGGGTCATATCTGCCAAAACAAAAAGAAAGGCAAAGAAAAGCCCCCAAAAGGGGGAATTGACTATCAGACACAAAGTGAATACCTGGCTTATTAATTATCGTCTGTGTCAAAGGAACAAACTTCACCAGTCTGTCCCCATAATGCAGTGTCTCTCATGCTCAGCAATAAAATCAGTTTACAGAGTTGTAATTGGGCAATCAGTATTGCCCATCAATAAGCACACAATAAGTTATGCATTCAAAACACAAGAGATTTAACAGTAATTATGCACGTTAATTTCTTGTCCTCTCATTTCTGATTCCAAATCTTCTCATTATCAGGTTTTTCTCTGCACCTATGACAGCTATAAAAACTTTGTTATTGTTTTTTAAGTATAAGCTGAGGTTCGCCAAAAGCTACATGATCCCAGGAAATTAATATTTCAGGAATACACCAGATGCTGCAATTAGCAATGCTGAACTGGCACCTTTATAAGTAAATGAACAACATCCTTCCCAAAAGAACTTACATGCTCCTCTTGCTGAAGAGGAGAGTGGTGGAGCACAGGGAATAATTCTTTGCATGGCCAAGATGTTGATAATAGCTGCCTGCAAGTGGTTCAGAATGAGGATAAACTGCACCAGAAAGAGAAAACAGATGCCTTAGCTACCAGGAAAAGTTTTCTAGTTCACACAACAACTCTGCTTTCATAACAGAAAGAAGAACATTGTTCAAGAACAACTTCTTCTTCATAACAGAAAGAAGAACATTGTTCAAGAACAATGCACATCCAAGGATTCTGCTGTACTCTCTTCAGAGTGTTGTGGAAGAGGGTGGCCTTGTCCCTGGGTCTTTTCAGTCTAACATATCTGGTTCTGTTCCTTACTATTTAAAGATCCCCAGCCAGTATTTTCATTATTATCTACCTCTGAAGTGCAGAATAGCCAAGAAAATATTGTCAAAACAGAACATTGTGACATGTTGAAACAGTTCAAACAACAGCCACCCACACAATGCTCCACATCTTCTCCTAGTTTCTGAAAGTACACACCAGCATTTTAACACAGTGTTTCAGGATACTGCATCTACAAAGCTTTCTTCAAGCCCTGCAGAAGGTGCTGTTTTGATGTCAGTTGCCTAAAAATGAATGAATTTTATGTGGCTTTTACATCTCTAGCACTTTTGAGAGACTAGAGGTAAATTGGCTCAAGCTGAAACTGAACAGCAGCCAAGGAGAGTGCTTCAAAGGGATGCAGCTTTAATCAGCTAAAAATATGCCTTTTCACAGTGCATTTAATGGGAAGAAAAAAACAAACTATAACTTTTCAACAAAGGACCAAGAACCAGGGAAACAGTGTTATATCAGCAGTTGAGATAAATTCTTATTAGAAATATTAAACTTCTCACCTGATAAAGAGCAAACTTTGGGGTGATCTTCTTACAGATAAGGAGAGTCCTTACTTGTTGAAACATGATTCCAACTGGCCACAGAGCAATAAGGGTGAGGACACCAACGAGGCAGCTAATCCATGTTGCAGCTCCTTTGGGAGATAACTGAGAAGCAAATCAAACAAGCATACCTATAAAACTTTACAGTGCATTTCACTATCTCCAGGAAGAAGATGTGAACTGGATGACGCAGATGATAAAATGCTTGTTTCTATCTCCATGAAAGCTGATGGCAGCAGCAGTTGCTGGGGTTTGCATGGGGAAACTGTACAGTACCAATAGGAGTGTTAGCACAGGGCTCTCACACAGCAGGCACGGACATGTAAATCTGTTCAGCCTAGGAAGGTAACAAGTGACACAAGCTCTCACTCTGACCCCAGTAACACCTGGGAACACTCAGCAGCTCATGAGACCATATTCAGCATGACATCTCTGAGGGGTCATTTATTTTATACCATGAAATGACGAAAAAAGTATTACTTTTAATCTGAGTTATCCAAGAGGTGCAAAATTATTAGCAGACACAGACTTCTCCATCATCTTGCAGCTTACATGGCACAAAGCAGAAGTACAGTATTATCTTTTCTACTTTGCACAGATACAAAAATCACCATGATTAGCAGAAAAACATAGAATTAGATTTGCTGTTTACATGCCAGTACATACACTTGTTTCTTACCCTAATCCTAACCCTAGCCCTAACCCTGCATAACCTCACAACATCTTTGCAGTCCTTCTGAAGGGGTAAGCAACTCAGGAGGACTACAAAGATGTCGTGAGGTTATGCAGGGAGAAAATTAGAAAGGCTAAAGCCCAACGAAAACTTAATGTGGCTACTGCCATAAAATACATTAGAAAATGTTTCTATAAATACGTTAGAAACAAAAGGATGGCTAAGGGCAATCCTTTATTGGATGCGGGGGGAAACACAGTGACAAAGGAAAAGGCTGAGGTACTTTGAGGTACTGAGCTGGAAGACAGGGGCAGGGAGCAGAATGAAGCCCCCATAATCCAAGGGGAAATGGTTAGTGACCTGCTACAGCACTTAGACACACACAAGTGTATGGGGCTGGATGGGATCCACCCCAGGATACAGAAGGAGCTGGTGGAAGCGCTCACTAAGCCACTTTCCATCATTTATCAGCAGTCCTGGCTAACTGTGGAGGTCCCAGTTGACTGGATATTAGCAAATGTGATGTTCATCTACAAGAAAGGCCAGAAGGAGGATCTGGGAAACTACAGGACTGTCAGTCTGACCTAAGTGCCAGGGAAGGTAACATGCCAGATCATCTGGAGTACCACCATGTGGCATGTATAGTACAACCAGGTGATCAGGCCCAGTCATCATGGGCTTATGAAAGGCAGGTCCTGCTTGACTAACCTGGTCTCTTTCTATGATAAGGTGACCTACTTAGTGGACAAGGGAAAGGCTATGGATGTTGTCTACCTGGACTTTAGTAAAGCCTTTGATACCTTTTCCCACAACAAAAACAGTTGGAGAAACTGGCTGCTCATGGCTTGGATGAGTGTGAGTGTACTCTGTGTAGGGTTAAAACCTGGCTGGATGGCCGGGCCCAAAGTGTTGTGGTGAACGGAGTCAAATCCAGTTGGCGGCCGGTCACAAGTGGAGTTCCCCAGGGTTCAGTACTGGGGTCAGTTCTGTTTAATATCTTTATCAATAATCTGGACAAGAGGATTAAATGCACCCTCAGTAAGTTTCCACACAACACCAGGTTGGGCAGGAGTGTTGATCTGCTTGAAGGTAGGAAGGCTCTACACAGACATCTGGACAGGCTGGATTGATGGGCTGAGGCCAGTTGTATGAGATTTGACAAGGCCAAGTGCCGGGTCCTGCACTTGGGTCACAACAACCCCATGCAATGCTACAGACTTGGCGAGAGTGGCTGGAAAGCTGCCCGGTGGAAAAGGACCTGGAGGTGTTGGTTGATAGCTGGCTGAATACGAGTCAGCAGAGTGCCCAGGTGGCCAAGAAGGCCAGTAGCACCATGGCTTGTATCAGAAATAATGTGGCCAGCAGGACCAGGGCAGTGATTGTCCCCCTGTATTCAGCACTGGTGAGGCTGCACCTTTAATACTGTGTTCAGACATTGAGGTGGTGGACCGCATCCAAAGAAGGGCAATGAAGCTGGTGAAGGGTCTGGAGCACAAGCCTTACAGGGAGCAGGTGACGGAACTGGGGCTGTTTAATCTGGAGAAAAGGAAGCTCAGGGGAGACTTTATCGGTCTCTACAACTACCTGAAAGGAGGTTGTAGTGAGGTGGGTGTTGGTCGCTTCTCCCAAGTAACAAGCAGTAAGACACGAGGAAATGCCCTCAAGTTGCGCCAGGGAAGGTTTAGAGTGGATATTAGGAAAAATTTATTCACAGAAGAGGTTGTCAAGCATTGGAACAGGCTGCCCAGGTAAGTGGTGGAGTCACCATCCTTGGAGGTATTTAAAAGATGTGTAGATGTGGTGCTTAGGGACATCGTTTAGTGGTGGACTTGGCAGTGCTGGGTTAACAGTTGGAGTTGATGATCTCAAAGGTCTTTTCCAACCTAAATGATTCTATGATTCTTAAGGCTGTACCTTACAAATACAAGGCAGGTACATCCCACTGGGGAACTTGCAGTCCTGCTATTCAAACCATACAAGCTGGGAAACATACTGAATATAATCTGATGCCCAGTTTCTTTCCAAGAGAAGCCAGGAAATGGAGAGTCAGGGGGAAGGCAGAAATTATATGCTTCAGGGTCTCAAAAGAATACAGTAAGGAAGCATTGGAAGCACTCCCAGATTTCACAGTTTAGTTGTAGGCTAAGATACTAACATCAACCTCAAAACCTATAGATTTTGTGGACCATTTCCAATTCAAATATTTACTTACATTATAAAGGGTGTAATTGCCATTAGTCCAAAGCACTATTGATAAAAACATGAACACGGGCCGAAGGAAAGCAAACTGAAAGGTGCCCAGCTTCAGCCAAAAGAGGGTTCTCCTGGCGAAAAAAAAAAAAAAAAATCACATAGACCAAAATTTTATTAGCAACCTTAATAACATTTTTTGGATACTGTCAACCGCAACACTTTTTCACTCCTGTAGCACGTGCCTAAAATCTGGGGAAGAACAGCTTCAAGATTAGAAAATCTTTCTAAGAATCACTCACTGTTTATTTAGTAAAGTCTCTAAAAAAATAGTACTTTTTCTGTTCTGCAGCAATAACATACTAACCAAAGCTAGGCAAAATGTAGAGTCTTTCTCTGCCCTGAAGCTAACCAGAGAGCCAGCAGCCGCATAACCAGTTTCTGAAAAATAATGCCGCTTGCTCTTGCCTTGTTGCCTTACGATGAACTAATTCAACTTTACGATGAATCTGGACAATTTAGCCTTCCTCCTCAGACACTTCCTAGTCCTGTGGTAGCTCAAGAAAGGGAATCATACAGATGTAGGTGAAAGGACCGGTAGTTTTCCAGCACATCATGACTACTACCATGTAAGCATCTGGTTTTGCTCCTCTGTACTCCATCAGGAGAAAGGAACTGTCTTTCACTCAGTTAACTGCACCAGGCCAGCAAGACAGCTTAGGATTTCCTTATTGCTGTCAGCATAAACTGTGTCCAGAACAGAGCCCATGCACAGTAACCTGGCCAGACAGCATTAAAGGTCACCAGGAAAGGGGCAGATGCACTTACTAACAGAGGACATGAAAACTGACTGACCTGAGCTCTCCTTCAGCCTTTACAGGACAAGCTGTGGCTGCTACGGCTGGCTCACATTTTAGTTTATTACTGTGTATTTCCCATCCTGTTAATGTTGTGTTCTCTGTAGCTCCTTGGGCCCTTGAGACTGCCATCAGAGACGCTTCGGCAGACAACAGGATGCTGTTTTGTACGTTACTGGATGTAGCCATGAACCAGGAATTACAGGAATCGCTCAATTGATATAGCTAATAACCACAGGGTTATGAACACAAACACATAGAATCATAGAATCATAGAATGGTTAGGGCTGGAAGGGACCTAACACATGTGGAAGGGCTTACAATTGGCCAGGCATTTAGTGCATGTGCCTTTTCAAAGATTTATTACTCCCAAAGGGCTCTAAAGAATAATATGACAAACAGTGCAGTCACTGCAATGCCAGGAGTGGTCTTCCTTGTTGACATGTCTATCTTTCTTAACCATCAGACCTCTTCTGCCACACCCCTCGCCACTGCATGGCTTGTTACTTTGCCTCATCAGTCTACTGTACCTTGATAGCTTTCCCAGGACTGCTCGATAGTATATGGCTTTTTAAAACAATGAATCCCTTCCTTGCAGTAGCTCCCCGTTTTCCCAGAAGACGCCTATGGGGGGAACATGAGACTGACCTTTCTCTGGTATAGCTTGCCTGTATCTAAAAAAAAAATTGTACCCTGTAATGGGAAAAGGCTAGAAGTCAGAAGCAGAGATAGCAGATGGGCTTCTCAGTGCTACAGATGCCAGAGAAGGAGCCTTAAGCCCTCTGCAGAGCAAAAAGTCTTCTTTTTAAACAGGCAGCTGTCCTTCCTCTCAGCAGTAGTAGACATTACCTAGCTCCTGAAAGGAGTTAATATTAGCTAATATCATCCTGGGTAAGCTGTCACTGGACTGATCAACAGGAGGGCAGACTAGAGGATCCTCTCCCAAACTCCCAGCTGCCACAACTTGTGCGGAGGGTGACAGACTCAGAAAGAAAAACAAATATACCGGTGACACATTAGATCTATAACACAGCTCTGTCCCATGGCATTTCTTCAGCGCTGACTGCTGAAACGAGCCTGAAATAATGTCCATGAAAATTAGTAGGAATCATTTAGATCCATATCAGTAGTTGCTGATTTTACGTCATTGTCTTACATTCATCTTTGGAGGTATATTTTTCAGTTGATTTATTACCTATTCTTCTTGGTGCCCCCTCCATGTAAATAATTACTGTTATTCCATCAAAATAAAATGATGGAAATAAGATTTTAAATTCTAATACCGAAGGAGGCAGTTTAAGGAAGAATTGTTACAATAAAAATTAAGGATTTTTGCAAAAGCATCACAAATCGCTACACTGCATTAAGTCCGCCGCTTTCATTTAAGCAGATCCTCATAGAAAAGTCTCTGTCTTGCACATTCAGCCCTTCAACTTTTGCTCTTAATGGAAGAAACATTCTCATACTCTGTGCCAGTAGGAAAGCCCTGGGAAAAACATGAGGCTTCCAGGCTCTGGAGCAGCGTGTAAATGACAGGGTGACAGTAGCCAGAGGAGGAGCTCCACCAAGCAGTGCTCAGAGGAGGCAGGGTTTATGTTACAGTATATTGTCTCCCAGAGATGCAGCTCTCCATCCTTACCCCAATTCCCAAAGATGCATTACTACTAAGTTTAGTAGAAGAAAATATTTGCTTTTGCCTCACCAGACAATGCCATTTCATTGGAAACAAAGCTTTCCAGGAATTACTTTTTTGTTGTTGTTCTAAAAATTATTTTAATCTGAAGTAGTTTTAAAGTCAAAATCAGAATGAAACTTTTAAATTTCATCCAAGTAAGAGAAATTTCATTTCAAGATAGCCTCAATTTGACAATTCTACTTGTGAAAAATACCCAATTCGGAGGCATTTGTTCCCTTCTGGCATGAAAAGAAACTGAACTCTCAATTATTACAGTTTCTAGGGTAGAAATTCCTCCTCCCACACACCACTGCTTACTACGGAAACGGTTTCTTGGAAGAGAATGGGATTAGCCGGGGGAGATACCACAGTGCTCAACATTACTACAAGTGGGAACGCTGCACTTAGTTAAACTGAGAGAGCTCGTGCTCTGGACTCTTATGCAAAATTCTGCATTATAAAAATGAAATAAATCAGTGGTGGCGTACAGCCCCAAAGGGATGGCACTGTTTAAGAGAGATGGCTCGAGACTGACTTTCGGGAAGCAGGGAGGCCCTTTGCAGTAAGCCTGGCCTTGCCAAGTTGGCTGAACTCCAGCAGCCGTTTTCCAGCTGGGAAATCTTAAAGGGCAACTCACCTAGTGATGCGCACACGAGGGAGGCAAAGGCAGCAGCAGCAGCAGGGGCCAGTGCTGATCTTGAAGTGACCATTTTCAAACCGACTGAGGAGCAGCTTTTGACCTCCGCACTCTTTAATCATCATCATCAGGAACTTGTGGATAACTATGGCAAAAAATCTAGGAGAGGAAGAAAAGGCCAGCTTGAACTTGCCTGTGTGTCTCTCGTATGCCTGCACAGGTCAGTGCCGCCTTCTGTCCAGGGTTTTTACAGCTCATGCTTTGCAATCAACAAAAATTCTAGCACTAGCTGTGAAAAACCTTCCACTTTCCCTCACTTTGGAGGACCAGAACTGCCCTAACCTCTCCAAAAGAGGAATAAACTGAGGCACAGAGGAGCTGTGGAATTTCCCAAAGCCACAATGGTGGCTGGTGGCGAAGTCAGTATTGAAGCACAGGCTTTTCTGGCCCAAGTCATTACAGCCATATTTTTTCCATCAGTTATCTAGTCCTGACTGGTCCAAACGTTTTAGAACAAGTCCTCTTCCTCCTCTAAAAAAAAATGCCCAAACCAAACATGGCTAGGTTCATATATATATTTAGGTATGACCGAATGTGCTGGCCGTGTCAGGGTGTGGTTCCTCTGCACCCAAAGCCAATCCAAGCACCAACTGCTGCAACCCCACCTCTCCCTCCTTTGCCAGCTGCCCAGTCTCAACCCTTCCCAGGAACTACAGATTGTGCTAACAGCCTTCCTGCCCTGTCCCAAACTGATTTAGGGATCTGACTCACTGAAATCCAACTCCACCAAATAAAACAGGTCCTCTTCAGCTGCACTGCCTCCTTGAAGGAGCTTGCGGTGCAGCTGGAGACTCTATGAGGCAGTGAATGCAAGTGAGGGGATGGGAACCTGCAGCTTGGGCAAGGGAAGGGGGGGATTCGGATAGGCTTAAAATGCCATAGGACTGGATTCGTGGAAGTTTTTGGTAATCTACACTACCTGCACAAATTGCTGCATGCTCACAGCATCCCTTACTACTGTGTTTTCCCTCCTTTTTTACTCTGATCTCCTAGCGAATGCAGTGTGAAAAGGGGTGAGGCTATTCATGAGAGTCTGTGATACTGTCCTGGAGTGCATTCCAAAATCATCCCAAAATTAACTGTGGAGTGCCCAAGGCCATGGTGTGCCCCCACCTGGCTCTGCCTGCCAGGGCTGTGCCATCACCTTGAGAAACAAGGACCATGTTTCTCCATTCCTCTTTGTGCATGTCACAGCTGTCATGCTCGTACAGAAAGTGCTTTTATCAGGACAACTGCAGAACATTTTTACGTTGATATAATCATGGGAGGTTCACTTGCCACCATTAATAACAGACCTCCACGGCTCATCATTAGTAAAAGAGCAGAGGAGTCACAGGTCAGAGTCTTATTCCACATGACATGGAGAGAGAGGAAAGAAAGAGTACTGCTTCAAAGCTACCGTCAATCCGAGGGATCAATTACATGCGAGTCACAGATCTTTCATACTGAGGTTCCCACACTAGGGGATTGTAGCACTGGGAACTGCTTCAGCATTTTCCACCTCCCAGAAAAGAGCTGCCAAGAGATTTCAATTCAAACCAAAAATTACTAAATTGTTAAATTTACAAAATTACTGTGTTTACCAAGAGCAGCAGATGTTTAAAGGGAAGAAATTCAGGGCTTGGGCCAAACGTCTAGAAACAAGCAGAACACTCACGCTGCTGCTGTGAAATCTGTAAACATCGTTGAGCGAGGAATCCACATGCCAATGCATGAAGTAGTAGCGATCACCTACAGAGAAAGGGAGGAGGGCTGTACAAAGGGCAGAGATAAAGCAAGTTCATGTGGATTTTCAGGGAAACTGTATTTGCAACATTCAATTTTATCTCTTTTCCATGGTAACTTACTGGAGCTGCAGCATTAATCCAAATTAGGATTGATCTTTTGGAGGAGGGGATTTTCCTGTAGATGTAGACTGCTTCCTCTATGAACACCAGATTGGCAACTAGCGTCATCAGAGTCAAGATTGCAAACAGAAATCTCCCTGGTAGGTCAAGGCCTGCAGAAAGAGAAAAGAAAACAGTTCTGATTTATTTCACAAGCATTCCAAACATTTAATGTAAAGACACTGTCTCTGAGGGGCTTCTTAGCCGTGTTCCTGCAAAGACTTGCACTCAGCTATGTAGATGGATCATTGACTCCGCAGGATGATTCAACTGCTTAAACTTAAGTTAATGACTACATCTTTCCAGGATCCACAGACAGCACACGGCAGTCTATGCCTCCATGTTCTCAAAGCACTATGCAAAAGTCCCCTTCAGAAAGGTGTAGTTACAGAACAAATGTCCTTAGATTAATATAAATACATAACAGAATATTAATAAATAAATACATCATACATAATATAAAGAAATATGGTAAATACATATCTTGGGAACTTTTCCAGGCACATTAAAAGCAAAAATGTATTTACTCTCTATTAGTTCTTTGCTTCCCTTGTATGTTCATAGGCATGTTTGTGGATAACTTCCTTAGGCATGCAAACTTTTTAGAGGCTCAGTGTAACTTTGTGGGGCACATGAACAATGTAAGGATAAGCCCCTGATATATCTAGCCTGAGACAAAACTTGATGCCTTCACCAAATTATTTTTTACTTCTCCCTTAACACTCAGTATGAATATTAACATTTACCCACGGCTGACGGGTTATATACATCTCCCTTGACACTGGGTACTGGTACCCAAACCCCTTCATTGTTGGATAACAGTACAGATATAAACTTCTACCCATGGCTGATGGCTGAAGTGGATTTTCTCCCAAAAAAGGTGCTTCTGGAGACAAAAGAAAACACTGCAGTGGAGCCATGCTTAACTTAGAAGAAGTTCATGGTCATCACTGGTACAAACTTCCGCTGTGGCCGTATCCTATCTAAAGGCATCCT